CGCACGGCAGTGCCCACACACCACCCGGCGCAGCAGCCACGTACAGCACCATGTCAGAATTGGCAACACCAGCGGAACGATGCTCAGCAGGCACAGTGAAACGACTGCAAACACTGCCCGCGGCAAATTGGGGCACAACCAACGGACCCTCCAGTGGCTGGACGAGCAGACGATCCGCATGCAGTTTGACAGCTGCAGGGACAACCTTGTCGATGAGAACTTTCCTCTTATTACTGGAAAGAGCATCGCCCTGACAATCGTAATATCCTGTCAATGGATTTTTCACGTAAGAATAATCTGAGCTGCAATAATTACTGGCATCATCCACGTCCCTTGTCGACACATTGATGCGGATGGGTGCCCATCCATTCTCCCCGATGACGGTGTATGTCTGCGACGCACTTCCCGTTCCCGAAGGCACGTTTTTCATCACCACCGGCATCGATTTCGTCCTGTCGACACGCATCGCATTGTCAAAGGAGCAATGGTACGTCAGACTGGCAGCAAAGCACCCGCTGGAACAACACATCAAAGTCAACATCATGAGCAGCAATGGCAGCGCTGCAGGGCACGGTGAGGCGAAGAGCCACTGAACCATCGGCGTGACTGTTGGAAAAGTATTTCTTGGCTTGCTGAGGCAACAAAGACTGATTGGTTGAAAAGAAAAATAAAACACAAACGTCACCACACAAGAAAGCAAATGGTGGTTAATGAAAATACGTCCATTCAACCACCACACAAGCAGAGATTTAAAACACACACGTGACGGGAAGCCGAGGCGTGGGACGACCAGCGCACACACACTCTCATTACTCCCGTAAAGCAAAACACACAGAGGGAGAGAGAGAGGTCGCCCACTCAATGCAATAGAAACAAAACAGAAACAGTTACGGTGCTCCGCCCATGCAGCCAGGCAGGACGGCAGCGGTGCGTGTCGTGCAAAAGAGAGCACCAACGGGCCTGCATGGGTGTGCATGCATATATACAATGGGCACATTATGTGTGTGCCTCGTGGGGTGAGGTGAGGGCGAGAGTCCATGCAAGGGGACACACACACAGAGAGAGAAGGACGAGTGTGTGTGCGGGCGGTGCATGGCTCTCTCACACTCACTCTCACGCGGCCACCACCGCAGCAGCCGCACACGCAACAAGAAAAAGCAAAGGAGGGGAGGTGGTGTGGAAGGCCGCGGTGCTGCTGTCGCTGTCGCCAGTAGTCGCAGCACCATTTGTTATAGCTGCGGCTTCGACAGGTGCTGTTTTATTTGTATTTTCTTCTTTATCGTCACCTTGTTGTGCTTCTTTCTTCGCTTCACCATCAGGTGCTTGATCATGTTTTGGAATGCCTTCTTCATTTCCTTTGTCAGCGTCATTTGTAATGGCACCTTTGGAAGCTGAGGGTGATGTTGGAGTTGATTCGGCGCTAACTTCTGTTGGTCCGTCTGTTTTCGTGACTGTGGTGGGGATGGTTCCTTCTTTTCGTGAGGCACTTCTTGACCCCACGTCGTGTTGAGATGCTTCTATATGTTGCTCTGAAGGGTCATCTGCAAAGGAGGGGTTTTCATCTTTTGTTTGTGTTGTTGCTTCTGCCGCTGCTGCTGCAGGTGCTTTTGGTGTTGGTAATTTGAGTCCTTCTTCCTGGGCGGAGCCGTCATCAGAGCTGGACTTTTCTTTCGCTGGTGTTGCATTTAAAGTTCCGGCTGGGTTTCCATTCAGTGTCGTTGCTAATGGTTCTGATGGTGGTGGTACTCCTTCCTGCGGCAATTTTAATTGGGATGTTTCTTCGCCTTCAATTGAACTTTTGGGTTCCTCAATTTCTTCGGTTTCTTCTTTCCCTCTCACTGTGCTTGCTGGTGATGCCATTTCCTGTTTGTGCACCCAAAGACTGATTGCCGTTTTCGGAACCTTCCTTGACTGAATCCTGCGTTACGTGTTTTTCGGCACTAACAATACCAGCAACAAGCTCTGAACTGTCAAATCTTTCATCTTCCTTCATTTCGGCACCTTTATCGACATTGGCCTCCGCCATCACACAGCCACACACCGTCCCGTCCAGCAATGAGAGTCACGCACCACAACAACAACAATGAAAGGAGTGCTGATCGACCGCCCCCTTCCCCACACCCTCACAGTCACTATTACCGTCAGCGTTACTCCCTCTTTAGAAAAACTCACCGGCATGCCGCGCTCACCTGCAGCACGCGTAGCCCGTCATCCTCTTCCGCTGTGTCCGCCACCTTCTCCCGCAGTCCAACAGCTCCGTGTCATCCACTTCTTCCACAGCCTACGGCATGCCACCGCCACGCAACACACACAGCGCCACAATGTCGTGCCGCCTCTCCTCCCCAATCATGATCGCAACACCCAACGCATACTCACACACGTGCTCCATGCGCTGCATGTTGTTCTCCTTGTATTTGTGGCGGCACCGCAAAGTCTTGCAGCCGGCGGCATCTTGGTGCTGGAAGAAGTACGGCGCAGCAACCGTGCGGGTGTCCGTGTGGCTGTACTCGCGCTTCAACTCGTCCAGCAGGAACGGGCTCGGCGGCAGCTATTCCAGCGGATTCATTTTCTTCTTCCCCCGTAAAACCGCGGACGCCTCACGGGGCCCTCCAACGGCGTCACGCCATGACCCATGAGGTCATGCGCACCGCCCTCTCATGTTCCCCTTCGTAGCCACAGAAGAACGCAGCACCCACATGCAATTGCCGGCAAGATAGGACCATCTACGTAAAATAAAACGTTATGCGTGTCGTGCGAGGGTGGTTGTATGTCTTCAGAGACGTAAAGGCAAGAAAAAAGAAGGCAGTCATGCCAAGAGGCAAATACGCACATAAGTACCGCAGAGGTCACAGAAAAAATAATCATTTCAATATATATATATGGCACAACTCAAGCCGGCACGGCATCCCAAGCAGCGAACAAACAAGGGAACAATTACGGAAGAAAAGAAAAACTAAGCACTCAACGCAGTTTTCACGCAGGTCGTTAAATGTAAAAAATTGGATAATAACAATAATAATGGTAAGTATCATTATGACTTTTATGATTATTATTCTACAAAAAACACTCAATAAATACAAACAATTGTCATGTAATATCCTCCACACAATATCCCACAGCAGTGCCTTTGTATCATGCCTGAATAAAGACACATATGCATACATGAATACAGAGAGCATACATGCACAGAAAAAGCAAACATGCATGCGTACGTATATATATATATATATATAGTTTACGTCGTTTTCAATTACCCCCTCTCCCCCTCACGATATGAACACGCCTCATTTATATTTCACGGCATAAAATCATGCACCACTCGACCCTCCCGCCATATTTTAAAAAGTTCGGCCACTCGACATTCATCCGGCGTTGCGTAGATCGCATGCAACATCTATCATAAAATCTGGACGGCATCAGTCAGTAAACCCCATTATTATTATTAGTATCAAAGGCACTAAAAACACATCAACACAAAATAATAAATAATAACAAATATGATCGGAATACAAAAAAATGAAATTTATACAAAGTCATGCATAAAAAAGTGAAAAGAAAAAGTAAAATAGAAAATTTTATAGACCCGCCAACAACATCAATAAAATATGTAAAAAACATCAGCATGTAAATATACACTGTGCCGCCGGAGACAGCAACAACGCCGTTTTGATATCAGTAATGAGCCGCAAACCCCAAAGCCCCAGCAGAAGTAACAGCACCCAGGACACACTCTCATGCACAAAGCTCACCTCTTCACTTTCCACCCGCGATGAACTCGCAGAATTGGAGCTGTCGCCTCTGCTTCCTTCCTCCGATGCACTCGCAGAATAAGAGCTGCCATCATCGTATTTTGGGCCTGCCTCGCCGACCATGAGCCATCTCATATGCTTGGAATTGAGTCTCGGTTATACAAACGGGCGTTGAAGAGTGACAAATGGCTGGATTTCTGCACTTCCCACTCTCCCCGCGGAATGGATGTGTGAAATACTGTTTGTTTGGAGAGAGACCCCTTGTAGGTGCCAGGTAAG